GATCTGTTTCTACTGGTTTTCAGTTATTAAATAAATTGACTCGTTCCACAAATGATATTAGCACAAAAGGTGTGGTACATTGGAGAGGCTCTAAGGTTGGAGGACTAGAAAGACATCTCGAATTTCTGCCAATATTTTATCATACTTTAATAGTTTCAACCATGGTGCTTCAAGTTTCCTTTAGAGCTTTCTACAATGTTATTATGGGCACCAATTAAGATCTTAGATAATACCATCATTATTAATTTTTTATAGAAGTTAAATACAGAAAATTCGAAATCAAACGTGGCCTTGGTCTAATAAAGGGGTTTTGTCGGCATGTAAGAAAAGGATTCACTTCAACGAGGATTACCGGAGGTTAATTTTTTATATCTTTCTAGTCATTAAGTCATTACTCTACTTTATCCACGCTTTTTGACCCTTTCATTTTTGCTTTCTGGTGCCAAAGTAGATGTAGTCAACAGACTAATTAAAGAGCGAACACCACTACTTCCTTTCTTTATAATTAATCGCTTCACTCCACAATCAATTAATTTTTTAGATCAATTGATTGAACATAATATAACACCAAACAAAGATTAAGTCTCGTCATCACTTGTATAATAAAATTGTTAACGTGTCAGGCTATAATATAAATGAAAAAATCGCTCACACTTGATGGACTTGAAAATAAGATTTAAATATGTAGCATTTTTAGTTGGCATCTTAAATTTTCAAAAAATCAAATGATTCAACATCTATTTCCTTTCTATGCTACGCTTTCATGTACAAGCCTACCGTGCTTCGTGTTTGAATCGGTTTCACCAATCAATCCACTCACTTGCGGCAAAGAAGGATCTAGGAGGATCACGCTTTTAGTTGAAAAACATTAATCCAAACTCGATCGTAGAAGAACGAGGAACAATGGAGACAGAAAAATAATGTATTAATTAGTAAACAGATTACAGCTGTTTCCCAAGATGAGGGGTGGATTAGTTTTAAATGAATTATAATATATATGTTGTTGTTTGGAGGGGCATTCTAAGGTTAACATCAAAATGATGATTCATAAATTTAATCCGGTTCGTGACGGTGCTTCTAGTCCATCTGCATCGGATTTTTGTGGTCCACATATATTATATAAAATTTATATAATTAATTTGTTTCTACTATGCCGATTTTTCAAGGAAACAAGTCGCCCTAAATATATTAAAAGAGGTCAAAATACATAAATTGTCGGTTTGATGCATTAAATTATTCATTAGCTGACGCATTACATTTGAAAAATATCCATCTTGTATTTTACATATTTGATGGAGAATTACAACAATTTATTTAAAGTAATTGTGCATATTACTCTTGTGCTCATTATCTTAATCATTCCCAAACTTATTGTTTGATTTAGGTGTTGAGTGTTGAGCACTACCGACAATTGATTTGATCCTAAATGTACCTATTTGATGGTAGATGAAATGTTATTATTCGTTCTTTTATACATTTAACATCTTGGCTCTAATCATGTTGACCATTGTTTCAAATACTTCAAATCTATAATATTTGTTGACATCTTTCAAGTCGTCAAAATTATGTGAAGTTAAGTAAACTCAAAGAAAAGTCTTTTAAAAAATATGCTAAAAAATTGAGTATATCTTTCTAACCTTTACTTCACTACCATAACTCTAATTATGTAATGTTAGAAACATGATGCTAAAAAAATCTGTAGTTTATATCCAAAATCCTTGCAAAGTGACTCCCAAATCTACACATGGCATTTGTAATACTAACGTAAGATTCAACCTTTATGACTATGTCCACGTCGGATAAAACCGTGTCTTACAACAGGAAAATCTATAATTCTACCAACCTTGTCCCTTGTCTTTTCTTTCTACCTTTTTTTGTTTCCTTACACAGCCAATTTTTTTACACGTGTATTCAACAAGTCTCCATAGACTAACATCACCAGGATGGTATTAAATTAAAATTATTTAGTGCAGTAGAAAATGGTACGACAAGAATGCTGGAAAACTGTCCCGCATTATTTTCATACACAATCCTAAGATCACTATCGGATTGTGCCTACTCAAATTTCTTGGAAACTTCCTTCAACTTATCAAATTACTTGTGTGTGTATATATATATATATATATACACACATATATATATATATATATATATGCATGAATCTATCCTA